AATGATAGGTCAATAGAGTCATAGGGTAAAAAAAATATACTTATGTCAGATAAGGGGATGAAAGAAGCAAAAAGAAATCAAAAAGTATAAATATATATTATATTATATTATTTTTTAATTTGAATTATTTAATTAAATAATTTTTAAAATATATCACTTTCATTTATTATCTTTTATTTTAAAATAAATTTTTATTTCTATTATTTTAACTCATTGAAATTTTTTTATCATTTAGTTAACTTTATTTTAAAAAAATATAGAAATGTTGTTATACTTTATTATTGTTAGAATTATTGTTATATGTTATATGAGATATTAAGACTTGGATATGTATGAACGTATTGAGAATTAATACATTTTTTATTTAAATTATATTATTTTATTATAACCGGTCTGACTCCGGTTTGACCCCCGGTTGAACCCATGACCCCTAACCCCTGAGTTTGGCCGATTCAATAACCGGTCCGGTTTTCAGTACCTTGATTAAGAGTATATTTAAGGTTATTAAGTAAATGGTATTTTTTTAAATTTATATTCTTGTTTTGAAAAAATAATGTTGCTAGATGTATTTAATGAGACTTATTAGTAGGTGAGATTTTGATTTCCAAAATGAATTAGAGGTTAATATGTTGGATAGTCAAAAAAATAATGGGTGGTAAAAAAAATAACAGTTGTACTTCCTTCGTTCTTAATTATAAAATAAAATTTTAAAGTCCTGTTTGATTATAAATATAGATATAGATGGAGTAATTAATTTTTACTCCAACATTGCCTCTCCTTAATTGTATTAAATTGTAATTCCTAAATCATTAAATTTTAGTGAAGGGAAAAATTAGAAAATATAATCAAATATTTTTTATAAGTTTAAGAATATCAATTACCATTAATTTCTTAAGAACCATGAAGTTGATTAACTTTGTCCAGTAATTAGGAATGGATGGAGCAATATAGTGTGAATATACATAGTTCAATTTTTTCTAACAGAGTCGGCATGATTTAGGAAATTGAGAGCTAGAAAATTAAAATTAATTGATAGTCATAAAGCAATGGGTAAATTGAAGCACCAATGATTATTACAGATAGATGGTTAGGTAGGTCATTTACTTGCGTGCTTATCTTCTCATTATCAGAATAGTGCTAATAGGTTAGTCTTCTTTGTGAAGAAAAATATATACAATGCACTGTCTTTTCATTAATTTTCTTTGGACCTTTTTCTGGGAATAATTAATTAAAAAATTAGTGTCAATGCCAAGATTCTTGTTTAGGGAGAAAGTCGACAAGCAGAAGCATGTTTTCTTCGTCCCAAAGATCTGAGTCTGTTTGATGATAAGGATACTATTAATTTTAAAATATAAATAATTAATAATGAGTGCCTTTTGAAATTTGATGGTTTCTTCTTGTTATATTTCTACGTGGCCGAGGTTCCTTAGCTTATACCTCCTTCCTATTAATTACTACGTGTTTGATTTAAAATCTGCACTAATTGAAGATAATTATTAAAATAAGAAACAAAGGTCAATGAGTAGGGCTCTTAATTAAAAAATATATATATTGAACTCTGTTTGAATCTTCTGTTTGGTTTTTCATGCTTTTCTTGTTTTGTACAGTATGTTATAACTTGGTATATTTTTAATATATCCTTGGCCAACTTCTCAAGAGGAATTGAGCTGCATAAAGTGTTTGCATTATTGCACTCAATTAATTAATTTCCCAGCCATCAATAAATAATAATTGTATTAAACAATATTGTTTGACTTTTCCGTCTTCAGATATTTTAAAATCTTACACATGTAAAGCTGTATTATTATTGCTCAATAAAAATATTTATCCCATGCAACCAAATTTCTGGCTTCTCAACGAAATGTTAGGATATATATAGATATATAGATTCAAAAATATAATTAAATATATCAAACTAATCACAGATTAATTAACAAATTTATAGCTATTGGCGATGGGATAGATTTGAGCTAATGATCGATCTTGGTTTTGATAGGCCGGTCGAGAAGGAACATTGGAGTCAAAGGAAACATGGAGATTTGTACGAGAAATATTAGAGTATATGTAATGCATCAAAATCTGTCAGTTTTCATTGACGAGATTTCAAATATAATAAGAATCAGTTGGTTATGATCTTGTGATGAAACTGTGACCCAGTACCAGTTCTGACAACCTTAATTTCCAAGGCATTGAGGGTGCCCACATATATATTGGACACATTTTAAAAAATTTTAATTTTATTTAAAAGTTATGGCATGATTTTTTAAACAGTATTTTAAAAATTTCATTTTTTTTAAATTACTTTTCAGAGAGTGTACCACATATTTTTATTTAATTTTGTTATAAGAAAGTATATTTAAAATTTTACACACTTTTATGTTTTTTTTTAATTTTTTGCATTGGCCCTTAATCTTCCTTTCATCAACTGTATTAATCTCTTTTTCTTTACTTTTTTTCATCTTTTTCTTTCTTTCTTTTTTTCTTTGTTTCTTTTTTAGTACAATAGGTAAGCACGAAGCTTGAGAGAATGAAACGATACTAAGAAGACAAAATAAAGTCAGCAAAGCAAAAGAGAGGATTAAGTTCCCCCATGAGACCCAGAACTACAAAGCTTTATGCAGATTGAGGGCATAGAGTGAATAGCAACAGTTACCATGAGCATTCTTGGCAAGACAGTCAGCCACTTTAATGCTTTCTCTATGGGCATGTTAAATCTGAAAAGATGACTTCTCTGGTCTGTTCCAGCAGCTCTCTTGAAACTCGTTTGGTTACTTAAAAAAAAAAGGAATGTAATGGATAAAAAAAAGTAAAATAAAAAAAAACTAAGTTATCTTTCTTTCCATAATAAATATGATAAAATTTATTAATATATGCTACAAATGTAAAAATCATCACTCTTTAAAAATTTTATAAATTATAATTTTCAATTTCATAAATTAAATTATCTCTCTCTTTATAAATGTACTCATCTATTTCTTTTGATTATTTTATTTTTATCTTTATTTTTTAATTAATTTATTCTATTTTTTTTTAATAAGCAAATGGGACCTTAGAGTGTTTTCAATTCCTGCATCCCTCGTTTCAACAATCATTTTTGCAAACCTCCAAGCCAGTTGCAATTGCTGTAATTTCGGCAGTGACAACATTCATTAGGCCTAGCTCTTCTAAAATCCTTTGACCCACGTGCCACTAGAGTTGCTGATTCATCAAAGAGGGGAAGATAATGCGTTTGAACTAAGTAAAAGATTTTGACCCACGTACCTGTAATGCACCAACTGTATTCATTTCTAGTACAGATGAACACATCATTATTTCTCTCAAATTATGTTTCTTCCGGACTTCGCTAGAACAATCAATAATTTCTGAGAAACTAATTAATGAATTATATTCGTACAGCTCTAGGAGCTAGTGGGTCGATTCAGAGAGAGAATTAAAGCTGTTCAACTTTACTTTGAAGTTCACTAGCTTTGGCAATTAAAGGCCAGCCTCGTAAAAATCTCCGTAGTTAATTAATTATTAAGAGAAATTAATATATATTTCCGTATTGATAACGAAACAGAGAAACGAAAAGTCTCCATGGCACAAGTTGGATTTCTGTAGATCCCATGTGCCACGTATTCACTGTGCTCTCTCTCTCTCTCTCTCTCTCTCTCTCTCTCTCTCTCTCTCTCACACAACACATGCCACGACATTGCAACGTATGTTTTTTCCTTTCTGAACTTATTTGCTTGTAGCTGTATATAGTCTTGTTTTTAATTAAAGTCGCTTCAAGTTTTAGAGTTTATTTTATGTTGATTATGGTTAATACCTTTTTAGGATCAAATTCCGTGGTCATTCAACGAGATGATGGGGCCTGTACTTACTTGGTTACCGTTGGGAGTTAGGATCTAAGTGGCTTAAATTTGCATTTTACTTTTTCTTTGATCAATAATTGCTGTACTCTAATGAAATACTATTTTATTTTAAAATAAATTTCAATTGTCAACGTAATTATGCTTCTAAGTAAAAAAAAAGAAAAATCTAAATTTAGAAAATAAAAAATTGATGATTAAAAAATGGTATTTATTTTCCTCTTAATTAGCAAATTAAAGTACCCATATATTGATATTGAATGCGTGCTGTTATTGACACTAGTTAATTGATCTCATAATTCATATTCATATTCACATTGTCATTTTGTTTTAATAAAAAAGTATTCCGTGTAACTTTTACTTGAACTGCATTTTCCATGCACCTTCCTAGGTCAATAACAAATGTAAATTTCTATATTTTGAATATTGGAATTAACCAATGGCCAATTTGTGAGATTAATCTTCTCGATGTGAATGTGTATAGGTGGGAAGTGATGACATACAGCCAATAGAAAAAGACACTTTCCTATGGCTTCTATTCATTCCACGATGAAATTCTATCTTTCTTTCACTTCTAGATTTTTAACTCAGATTAAACCAGTCAATAATTTGCAGATACTTAAATTAAATCTCCCATCAAAAATTTAATCGTTATTACATATCTAATTAAAATTCGAACTCGAGAACTTTAATTAAAAGGGATCAACCCTTAGCCAGTTAATTTAAGTGCCCGATGGTTCATGAAGAAGCTTTTAAGAATTAACCCATGGCAACACATACAGAGGATTGACAATGGAACATTTGGCAGGATAATGGAGACAAACCAAGAGGGTGAAGAGTTGTTTAGATGAAACAGCCAAGGCTTGGGGTTAAAATATTAAATAGAAGGGCCTGTACAAGTAGGATGATAAATTTTCTATGCAAAAGAAGAAGAGATTTGTCCACTTGCATGCATAATTAAAAAAGTTGATGAGCGAACTAATCCAAAAAGCAAGACAGAGGAAAAACCTAGCAAGCTAGAAAGAAGAAAATGTGAAGAACGTTGAATGAATAATTGGCCATCTCTATATGCTATAGCTAGCCCAGAAGACTTTTTGTCCCTTTAAGCAACACCTTATTACACTCTCTACCCTATAAATTCCGGTCTACCCTTCTATTCACTTTCCCAACACAGCCTTAGAGGTTATTGAATCCCCCCCGCCCCCTTTCTCTCCTCAAACTTTGAGAAACATGGGTCGAGCTCCATGTTGTGACAAGGCTAACGTCAAGAAAGGACCTTGGTCCCCCGAAGAAGATGCTAAACTCAAAGCCTACATCGAGAAGTATGGAACTGGAGGCAACTGGATTGCTCTTCCCCAAAAAATCGGTACCTCTCTCTCTCTCTCTCTCTCTCTCTCTCTCTCTCTCTACTTACAAAAACTATCGGAGAGTTCTTAACTGTTTAGTAATGATAAGTAATTAAAAATTGACAGGTCTCAAGAGATGTGGAAAGAGTTGCAGACTTAGATGGTTAAATTATCTGAGGCCTAATATCAAGCATGGTGGGTTTACAGAAGAAGAAGACAACATCATCTGTAGCCTTTACATTAGCATCGGAAGCAGGTAATTAAATAATTGATTAATCTGTTTGTCTCTGTCGTTGATCAATTTCTGTAATCAAGGTTATTCAATTATTCATGGAAACATGTGGTTATGTGTGTACGTACCAGGTGGTCCATAATCGCAGCACAGCTACCGGGAAGGACAGACAATGACATAAAGAACTACTGGAACACCAGATTGAAGAAGAAGTTACTGGGAAGAAGAAAACAATCTTCTGCTGGCTTCAATAATAATCCAAAAGCCAGAAATGGATCATCAGGAAATTACGAACAAGATGATTCAAATGCCCTAAGCAACTCGGCTCTCGAACGTCTTCAACTTCATATGCAGCTTCAAAGCCTCCAAAACCAAAACCCTTTATTCTCTAATTTCTTCAACAATCCTGCACTCTGGCCCACCACCAAGCTTCATCCTCCAATCATGACTGGTATTGCCTCTGATGATGGTAATAATCATAAAAACCCTGACCAGTCACAAAAAGATGATCATTTCTACAAACCATCTGTTCCATCTAGTACTGATGGTACCTCTCTTCAACAAGAACATGAAAAGATCACAAGTTCTTCTCAGATTGACATGTCGGTTCCTTTCATGCGGGTTGATCCAATGGACTCTAATGGTGTGGCAACAGTAAGACTTGAAGACGGAGTTCATCGTCAGCAAACTAATATGGGGAATCTGCAGCAAGTTTCTGCGCTTCAGGCTGAGCTGCATGAGATTCTCAGCAATAATAGCATATCAATGAGTTACAATATGGCACAGGCTGATCAAGATCAGATGGCCGATTTTGATTGTTTTGCAGAAATGAATTCAACTGATGATTCGAGGGACAACATGATGAATATGTGGTGGTCCAATGATTTAGGGGCCAAATCAGCATCTTCCGGCTCTTGGGGATCAAGTACAAGCACAAGTACTCCTGTTCTTCAGCCAGAAGGGATGTTTCAAGATAGTTATGAACTGGTGGGTTATAGTTTGTAGTCACAACGGTGCATAACAATATGAGGTAATTTTATGTGCCAGTCCATTCGTCATAATATGGGGAGAAAGAAGAATACATCCAGCAGATTGTCTTGTAAGTTAACAGCGTCGTGAATATTGAGAATATTTAATAATGTAAAAGTTGTAAATCAGTGTTTGAGTGTTTGTAGAAATTCATGTTGTGAATTATGAATCCCCTCAAGACTCCTTTGAATCTTTGATATCATATCCTCAAGCATAAAATAATCATCAAAACCATAATTTGAAGCTAATTTACTGGAAGCATCTTTAATCTGGCTCGAAGAATAAATACATGGGTATACGATAAAGGAAGTGTTAATTATATATAAATGTATATATAGGTTAGGGTTTCATTTCAACAATAAGTGTATTAATTTACCTTACCAAAGTAAGGTACTTATGAATTTCTCTATGAGAACATGAATTGCATATATATTTCTTGGGCAGCTATAACTCTCAAATGAGTAATATAGGAATGATTTATTGTATGTATACAAGCTCTAAGTATTTGCACGAACCCAAAATGTTCATAGATATATTGAGAAGCTCCTTATAAGTTGACCTCATCTTATTAATATTAAAACTGAGAATTTCAGGAGGCTTCTTGCTGTTTAATTATATTATAATTTATACTACATCTGGTGGCGCAAATTGTTAAAGAAAAGCTGGCTATCTTCTGTGCTGTATATATTGTTATTTAAACAGTGAAAAGCTGCAGAATAAAAATTTTTTAGTAGTGGACATTATATTAATGAGGTGATCTTCTTCTGTTTGTTTTACACTACTAGAATGTGAATCCTGCAGAGAAATCAAAGAAATATTATTGATAACAGCGCTAGATGAATCGGCACTATAGCTAACACTCTCACATGTACAATAATTTTCTACTTAATTAGTCTCAAGAAAATTTCGACTATCAATTATTAATACAAGGGGAGTCTGTCTTTAGTTTGGATTTCTCAAAAATGGACATATTATATATCCCGATTAAGATAAATGTAAGATTTCTTAATTTTAAAAATTCAAATGTGTTATGATGCAAAATATATATAGTTGTAGTTATAACAAAGGGATATATAAGATATAATCCCTTAATTTTTATGAAGCAAATGTTTGAAATGGGACCTGCTATGAGATATTTTCAAAATAAAGATGTGTATAATCTCTTGTAAAAGCCAATGTCGTTGTAAATTAAATAATTTCTACGAAAGGCCATGTAAGGGATCAGTTGCGATACTAAAATTCTCCAGAATGACGTCCTTGTAATATCTAAAGACATCTTTGAAAAATTATAAAACCAAAAAAAAAAATGTGAAGATCACTACTTTGTAGAAGGTTGTATTATTTAAGAAAACCCTACATATTACTTAGAAAGATAAATAGGTTCACGACACTCTATGTTTCATAAGGTTAAACTTGAAGGGTTATATTTTGAAAAAATAATAAAGAAGTCTCAAAAGGATGAATTAATTAAAGTTAGGTTTCAAATGCTAAATTTTAAAAATTTACAATTCAATCTCTCAATTTGGCAATTCTATTTTGATGAATTTGTAACTTATATTTTAAATTTTAATAGAAAAATATTTTTTTTATTTTTCAATCATGTTAAAATTTAAAAAATAAGTTATAAATTCATTACGACATAATTGTAAAATCAAGAACTTAAGTTGCAAATTTTTTGTTGAGTTTAGAACTTATGACTTAAATTAAATTAATTAATTTTTTTGGGACCTCTTTATTATTCTCTCTTATATTTCTAAAAGGCAATATTCCATTATCTATAAATAGTTTCTTCTCATCACTCCATTCACAAGCATACATCTAAATTATTTACTTTTATTTTAAGCATACAAAAGATAAAGTTAAATTATCACATTATGAAAGTTATTGTTATTTAGATTTGAATTTTGAAATAGTATAAATCCTATTCAAGGAATTTTATTTTATAGCGTAAAGAAAATCATCATTAACTCGATATGCACTTGAATTTTGAATAAATGAGTGAATATTAAACGTAAAGAAAAATATTGCTCACCTCTTGAAGACAGTGCAAACTTTTTTCTTTATCTCTTCTTCTGTAACACTTCACAAAACTAATGCTACTAATATATATATATATATATATATATATGACAACATACTAATACATTGTTGCGTGACCAATTTACCATACCTTTCCTGTTCATCATGCCAGAAACATGAACAAAAAGACCCTTGCCGCTGTAAATAAGATTTGAACTTAAAATAGGTGCCCATGTTTAATATTCGTGTCTCTGTAAAATTGCTTCTAATAAAAAAAAATATTTTTAAGCAACAAAAAAAATTCTGGGTTTGTCAGTACATGGTTTTTAACAGGAGAGAGATGGAAAACCCTCTCCAATTTTGACAAAAGCGACCAACAAGATAAATAATATAATGAGAAATTAAAAAATTAATTTAAAAAACTCGTTTAAAAATATACCCAGGTGGCGTTTTGGGGTCTTCGATAATGTCCTCAGATAGTTTCTCTGCTTCCAAATAGAATCATCGTGTGTCACCGCATTAAGGTTATGTTTGATTGCTAAAAAATAAAAAATATGGAAATGAAATTGATTGAAAAAATTAAAATAAAAATGAATTAAATCACTTTTTTTTTATAGAAAGTGTGATAAAACTCAATATTACATACCACAATATAAATGGGAATCATCACACTTTAAACAAAATCACATAAATTATGATTCTTAATTATATAAACTAAAATTACCCTTTTCTAATGATAAAACTTAATATTACATACAAAAATGTGAATATGAAAATCATCACACCTTTTAAAAAACTCATAAATCATAATTCTTAATTCTATGAACTAAAATTACCTTTCTCTATTATGAATATAATTCATTTATTCCCCCCACATTTTAATAATTTTATTTTTATCTTATTTTTTTAATTCATTCTATTATATTTCATTCATTTTTAGTAACCAAACAGAATCTAATTGTTCAAATAGGGATTAGGAGGCTCTATATTCCAATTAACCCATAAAAAATAAAATGACCGTCCTTCATTTTTTTTTTGTCCTTTTGGTACTATAAAAAATAACAAATAAATCCCACCTAAATAAATAAATAATAAAAGAGAACTATAAGATAGGATAATTTGTTGAAATTTTTAGGATTTTATGTCACATCAAAATTTTTTAATCAAAGTAATCATTTCCTAGAGTATTTTCATTACTCGCAAAATGAAAATCATCATTAACTACTTTGAAATTATCAATTATCTTTTTAGAAGCATTATAGTCATTTTATGAAGAAAAAAAATTAATGTTAGATAAGTTGTCAAGAACTTCAAAATTATTATTCTATTTTATCGTTCTCTTTTGTCATTTGCTCGGTGAGATTTATTTGTCACTTTTCCTTTAGTATAGGTTTTTTTGGGGAGAATTACTGCAAATTTCTTTAGAAGCATTCTAATTACCGGAAAGTCCCATTAAATATAGAAATAATTGTAAGGCCCTAAGTCCTTAGCTGTAAATCATATTGACACATAATTACCAAATTGCCCACCACTTTTCCAGCTTTCTTCATCGTCTCTGTCTCTTTTTTCTTCTGCCTTCTACTATGGCCATCGATGCCCAACCACCTTCGGCACAAAAGAAATGTCTCCACCTGCTGCCAACAGTTTTTCTTCGGAGAAGGAGAGGAAGAGGTTTCTCCTTCGGTGTACTCTGACAGGGCAATCTGGTCATTGGGTGTCCAATCTTATTTACAATTAAGGACACAGGGACCTTACTATTATTTGGGTATTTGGTGGGACTATCAAGTAATTAGAACTCTATAATATTTCTCCATAGTTTTTCAGTAAAATATTGGTGGTCCGATAGAATTTATTTGAGTTATTTTGTAACCGGGCCCAATTACTTTCCCTTTTGATTTCTACATTGGGCTCAAAGACCCACCTTGTTACCTCTCTTCTGGGCTTTTTTTTAATCTTCTCTGGTTTTTTTTGTCAAGCGTCCTCCCACAGTGCTTGAATTCAGAAGTCTGAGTTGTCTGCTTTGGATACCGAATGATTATACCAAACAAAACCAATGTTCTTTCTCATTGTTCCTATTTCGTAACCTCACCGACATCCTATTTTTTGAGCCTGCACGCACGTAACTTATCAGTTTTTGACACATCAATAATTTCCGGCGCAAAGCTGGCCTTCTCCTTTATTTCCTCGTATTCTTATGTCATGGTTTATCTCAATTGTTGTCAGTGTCCTTGTCAGCATTCAGTCCATGTCATCTGCCAAGTCATTAGCATCATAATCCACATCATCATATTGTCCACGCATCCATAGTCATCATATGTTCCTGTGCATTGATTAAAATTGAGGGAGTTACAAGTTCAACAGGTAAAGTTGAGTAATTAATAAATTATATTATTGATAAATTCATAAATTACATAATTAACAAACAATACAATTCAATTAAAAGAATCACGGATTAATAATTAAAGTTAAATAATTAATATATCTTATTGTGAAATTGACAAGTAAAATTACATAATTAATAAGTAATGCAGTTCAATTGAGTAAGTCACAAGTTTAACAAGTAAAGTTAAGTGATTAATAAATTTTGTTGACAAATTAAACAATAAAATTATATGATTAATAAGTAATACAATTCAATTGAGGAAATTATATATTTATAAAATTTAATAATCAATAAGTCTTGTTAAAAAGTTAACCAATAAAATTACAAAATAAATAAGTAATTTAATATTTAAGAAGTTTGAAAATAAAATTTATTGTATGCATTATTTTATGCATTGTATAATTAAAGAAGTTTAACTGTTTGGTGGTTCTTAGTTTTTTGATGAGTCCAAGGGGTCACAGGTTTGTCGAGGTTGCTTTGCTGGCGGCATATTCCTCCGTTTGGTCGAGGACTTGGCGGAAGACAATAAAGGGGCTTACGAGGCAGGCCTCACCATCCTTCTGCTAAAAGGACGTTCCGAGGCTCATATCCAAGAACATTGAGAAGGCTTTGGTGGAAGCGTTCAAGCTACTGGGGACCTTTGATTATAACTCCATCTTTGGAATTGCTATCCCAAGTGGGCTTGTGATTCTTGACAACATTGAGGCTAAGTTGAGCTTGAATCTAGAGAAGAAGCAATATTGAGGTGATGTGTTCATAGATAAAAATA